TCTTGAGGTAAAATATGATGAAAAAAGATTTGGTCTTAATTCTTTCGTGTTCGTTGCCAGCTTCATTTAGAAAAACGATTTATATAATCGTGATACTCTCACCATTTAAAATGCGTATGATACTTTGTTTTCAAATGAAGCATCTGGTTGGATCTGAGACTAGAAATTGAGAAAACCTTATTGTTCATGGTGGTCACGAAAGGGACATGTCGAAATCTAATTTCATTAATCAAGATTGTTTTTATTGCAAGAAGAAATGACATATCAAAAGAAATTGCAACAAGTTACAAAATAAAGGTAATTTGGCTGTAAATTAGAAATGAAATCAATCGGAAACTAAAATTGAAGCCGAAGTTACAAAGAACTACTTGAATGCTGGAGATACATTGGTTATTTCTGGCAGCGAGTCCAAACCAATGAGGATTGAATTTTGGATACACCTTGTGCTTTGCACCTTTTATATGTGTCTCAATCGGGATTTGTTTTCAACATATAAAACAGTTCTGACAGATGTCAGGTCATGTGAAACAACGCACCTTGTTGGGTAACTGGTATTGGTAGAGCCGATCTTAAGCTATTGTGTATGACATTTAGAACACTGATCATGTTCGACATATTCTAGATTTCAAGAAAAATCTTATCTCGATGGTTACTCTTGATTCGAAAGAGTACAATTTCATTAGTGAAGGTGAAAGTGAAGGTAGAGTTTTGAAAGTTTGCAAAGTTATCCGGATTGTATTGGAGGGGTTGAAAAGGTCCCAATTATATATTTTGCAAGGTTGTCCAGAATTCGTGAAGAACAATCAGCAAATGTTTAGTACCGTGATGGATATTCGGTTTGGTACAATACCGTTGGGATTTGGTTTGCAGTCTATCTTGATTAATACAACTCAAACAAGATCGGAGCATATGAGTAATGCCACTTTGTCACCACTTGTGGTGCCAACATATCCAATTGCTAAGAACATACCCTATGAAGATAGGCATGGGAGTGTTGATTTTGTTGTGCATGCTTTAAGTGTATTTAAATGTGTTAAGTCTAGCAAGGGCCCTTCTACGAAAGCATTTGGTATTGATTTTGTTCTGGGTGTGTTTTGACCCTATTTGGTAGATTTTAAATTATTTGTGATTTTTTGTTGAACCTAAGGTAATTCTACAGAATAGTGATTGGATTCATTTATCGTAGTTGGATATTGTAGAAGAGGTGGAGAATTTTTTATTCGTTGCAGAAGTTAGTTTAGTTCATTCTTTACAGTCGGATTTTTTTCTCTAGGTTTTTATGAGCACTTAAAGATTCACATAGGGCATAGTGATATAATTATATTCCCTATTGGACCCCATGACAATTTATACCACGTCGAACATATTTTCCTTCTTTCGAATTCATGAATAAGTCATCACACTCACACAATCACTTGCACAATAATTATGAAGAAAGTAAGATAATATAAATTATTCAAATATCCAAAACGTGTTTTTGATGTCAAAAATTATAAAAATAAGAATTAAAAATCATACTACATAATTCATCGATCTCCTAGTGCATAATTAACATAGCCTAACATGGTGGAAAGAAGAAAATCAGAAAAATAATGATGGAAGGATATCACCAATTCAATTCTTGATATTAATCTTCGCGTCGTGGTGTTGTTCTTCGTGTTCTTGCTCTTTTGCTCCTCTCAAAACTCTTATGCATATGTTTTTTAGGTCAAAATGAAGTCTCCTCCCGTGTTCTGGTTGAGTTTTATATATATAGGATGCCTAAAATATTGTTACCAAAGTAGAGTTTCAGTT